AACTCCTCGATCCAACATCCTCATACAGATACACACATGCAGGCAAAACACCAATGCACATAAAAATGAAAGTAAATAAATTATTAAAAAAAAAAACCCTATCTCAAAGAACAGTAACAGAAACAAATCCAGCTCAGGTCTACATCTCCAGCCACACCAATCATTACTCTCCCAGAGAACAACAGAGACTTGTAGGTTTCACATCAGGGCCTCATTGGCTCCACATACTCTATTTCATCTTCTCCAACAGAACCTTTCTTCTCCCGAAACTCTTCATCCAACCAAAGCTCCCCTCCCTGCCGCCTTCTTCTTCTTCTTCTTCTTCTTTTTTTTTTTTTTTTTTTTTTTTGAGACAGGGTCTCTCTGTGTAGCCTTGGATGTCCTGGACTTGCTTTGTAGACCAGGCTGGCCTCGAAATCACAGAGATCTCCCAGCAAAATACTGAAAAACCAACAACAACAACAACAACAACAACAAACTTTGGGGCATTCATGATGGCTCAGTTGGTGTAGGAGCTGTATAACCCTGAGCACCTGAGTGTGATTCCTGGGGCTCATAAGATGGAGAGGGAGACTGTCCCCTGAACTTCATATACAGGCAGGCAAATATAAAACAATTTAAAAACAAAACACAAGCTTCTCACTTGTTACTAGAGCATCCTATGTTTCCCTTGATTTTAAGTCTTTATCATATAGTATCTTAGTTGACTGTGAACCCAGACAACTGTCCTGCAGGGTGGGGAGCTTTTTTATGTTTGTTTTTCTTTTTGCCAGGGCCTGGTAACCCAGCATCTAAGGCTTACTAGGCAAGTGGGGTACCCGGCCTCAGGGAAGCTTTTAGATGTTTTCAAGGAATTCATCACAACCCATTACATACAGTCTGCCCCCTGGGTGCTCAACATATATCCAATAATCAATGAACAGTTTCCATTAATAAAAAGCCAAGTGTCAGTCCTGACTCTATATTGCAGAACTTAGAAACCAACCAGAAAATGAAAAGTATGCCAAATTTAATTCCAAACTGAAATTTTGCTTCTATGATGGAAAAAGATGGGGGTTCTCTTAGGGCAGTCAATAAAGGGTCATCTAAGAAAACAGTACGCTGTGATTTGAAAGCTGAAAGCTGAGTACGCTAATTGTTTTTGGAGCGGTTCCTTTTTTGTGAGTAACTCGACAGTAGCACAAGAAAATTGCAAAGCCGACACACAAACAGGGACAAAGACACCCCCCCTCTGGACAACGCCATCCAGCCAGGATCCTCTCTACTCCCCGCCCCCTTCCTCTTTGTCCAGGGTTTTTCCCTTCCAGACTCCACTTCCTCCCGTCCCTCTTCCTGGGCCCGGCTCTTGCCTCGGTGAAGCCCCCGTAAGTCGTCTGGTAGAACTCATCTTCCTCCTCTGCTTCCAGGAGCCCAGAAAGCCGGTTCCCAGCGGTTTTCCGTGGGGCCCGGCCCCCAGCCAAACTCATACCGCCCACAGACACTGCGCCGCTACCAGCCACCCCGTGCCTAGCTCGGGATCGGCGCTCGACACTGTCACCTGCGGCCGTCAGCCGGTGGCGGAAGTCCGGCATCTGCAGGCAAGAGCAGCCGAGCATCGAGCGGCCCTAATTCCGGCCCTTAAGCCTCTACACGAGGCTGTTCTGGTTAGGTAACTCCTAGGAGCGTACCAGCGCTCCCACCGCCCCCCCAGTCTTTGTTTTTCCAGACAGGGTCTCACCCTACACTCCAGGCTGGAGTTTCCTGAACTGTGCTTGTAGACATGTGTTTGAACATGTACTACAGCCCTGTTGTGGAGGTCAGAAAGCCACTCTAGGAACTGGATCTCACCTTTTACTTTGTGGAACCTGGGGATCAAAGTCAGGTCATCAGGCTTGATGGCAAGCGCTGAGTTGTGTTTTTTGAGATAGGGGCTCTATGTAATCCAAGTAGTTTGGTGCTTGATCGTACCCAGGCCAATCTTACAAACTGGTCTTCTGAGTATCTCATGCTACTAGGTTGAGGGAAGATTTTTTTCTTTCTTTCTTTTTTCTCCCTCCCCCCCCCCCCCCCCCCCAACTTCAATGCGGGGGGATTGAATCCAAGACCTCAGGAATACTAGGCAGGTTCTCTACTACTAAGGTACATCCCGCGTGAGGACAAGGGTTTTATCTGTCCAAACTAGGAATTCTGAGTGCCTGGGATAATGCTGGGGTTAGGTAAATAATGGAAAATAACTGAATGAATAAGGTACTCATTTATTTACTGTTTTTTTTTTTCCCCTTAGTGCCGGGGATTAAATTCTGGGTCTTGTATAAGATAGGCAAACTCTCTTAACAATGAGTTACATGCCTACTTCCCAAAGGTGCTTTGAAAAAGCACACTCACATGCACTCAAGACTGAGTGGTGGCCCTGCTTTGAGGTCACCAGGTTGCCTCCCTTCTGAAAGTATGCGTTGGTGAACTCCCATTTCCATTTCCTCAGGAGCACCAAGCCACTGAATTCTGCTCTGCCCTTGCTTCCACACCTTGCTGCATCACTGGGCCCTGCTATGCTGGGAATGTCACTAGGGAAGAGCAGCCCCATGATTCAGGGGACACCTCAGGGGTGGAGGAGAAGCTGGAGCACAGAGACGCGGGTGAAATGATACCTGCTTCTTGAATACTCCTAGCTCTCCTTTTTTGTTGTATTGATCCTTGAGATTAGGGCATGCTATTTTGCCTATTGCCCAGGCCCTTCTAGAAATCAAGAGGGTTGTTTTTTTTTTTTTTTTTTTGGGAGAAAAAGGGAAGGGAACTCAAAGGAACATGTTAAGGAAACTTTTAATTATCTGAGTAGCTGGAACCGCAGGCATGTGCCACCAACACCCAAAGGTTTAAAAAATAATTTTATTGTTACTATTGTTATTTGTATTATTTTAAGACAAGGTCTCACCATGTACCTCTGGCTGTCCTGGAACTGGCTATGTGGACCATGCTGGCTTTGAACTTACAGAGATCAGGCTGCCTCTACCTTCTAAATTCTGGATTAAAGTCATTGGTCCACTACATCTCAACTCCAACTCTTAATTCCACTTTTTGAATTTCACCTTCATCCATACATATATTTAGAAGACATATTTAGGGAACTTAATATGTGTCAGGTATAGTCTTAAGTTATTGAGCTGCAAAAATGAAAAGCAATCATCTTTACTCTAGAGGGAGACACACAGGTAAACAACACAGTGGTCATTTTCTGGTACTCAAAGTAGAAACAAAAGCCCCTAGAATGTTGTAAAATGGCTTTTTTCTTTCAGGTATGAAATACAAATTATAGGATGAAAATTCTGGTTTTGTTTGTTTGTTTGGTTTTTGAGACAGAGTTTCTCTGTGTAGCCTTGATTGTCCTGGAACTCACTCTGTAGACCAGGCTGGGCTTGAACCTGCCTCTGCCTCCCAAGTGCTGGTATTAAAGGTGTGCACCGCCACTGTCTGCCTGAAAATTCTATTTTTAACTGTTTTAGTCATTCAAGTCTTTTTGGTCTACTAACAATTTCAGAGTCAGAAATAGCTTTAATCTTTACTTCAGCCGATTTTCAGAGCAACTTAGGAAACAGAATCAACTGAATTTACACTTAATTAAAGTGTTTGTGCATTCATGCATGTGGAGGTCCTAGGAAAACTTGAATAGAACAATTCTTTTATCCCATCTTAGGGACCCAGGGAGAGAATTTGGCCATTCTGCTTGGTATGTTTATCCGATGAGTTGTCTTGATAGTCTCCAGGCAACTGAATGTCTTTTCTGGAAATACGGACACTTTTTTCATCAGTATTTACTGAATACCTATGAGACAAATTCACTTGTGAATATACAGCATTGTCTAATTCCAGTGCTATTCAGCTGGGTGAAGGGTTCAGGTAGAGCATAACATACAATGCTTCAGTGCTACCTAGTCCAAATGCTGTTGAATTAGAAATGCTAATTTTATCAAATGAAGTCTGTCTACCTTCGGTACCCAAGGGAGCACAAAGAATCCAGCAGATGGCAGTAAGGAAACACATATTTTAGGTCTTGAAGGGAGAGGGAGAAATCTGAGGTTAATGAATGGGAAATATTTGATGGACGTTCTCTCGTCTTGGGTTCCCTTTGGAGGAACATCTGGATAGGTATCCAGGCCGGTTGTTTTCCCGTGCCTGTCTTTTTATAGATGTGACAGAAGGTGTACATACAAATGAAACAGCCTTTGCTCTTCAGAAGCTGTTTGTTCACGGATGGCTTCACTAGGGCTCTCACACCGTTCACAGCCGCTAAGGTTCTTTGTAAAAACTGGGCAGAGTTCATATGAAGACTAGACTGGGATGGAATCCTGTGTTTCTGTGCCCTTTGGAGTATAGATAATTGGCCACTGACGGCTAAGGAGGACTTTGGATGGGGAAAGGTTGTGATACAGTCTGATCGAGTTCTGTAGACTTTTTGACAGGTCTTTAAACTTTTTTATGTGTTAATCTTACATTTCTTATTATATTGTTGACAAATCCTCATTGACGTATTTAACAAACATTTACATTTACTGAACTTTGTCACTCTGTTTTGTTTGAACCGAACAAAACTGTTTTAAGTCCTCACCTTAAACAGTAAAGGCTGGAGAATTCTTGGTGGTTGTGATGTTTTGTAGTACACAGTGCTCAGTATTTCGGACTTGACACCAGAGCTGCGTCCCGGGTTCTTTCAAGGGCCGTCATCTGAGGCGCCCAGTCCTTCCCAGTCCAGCCGAGTCTCAACCAGCGCTCACAGCCAGCAGAGCACAGTAGGGTCAAAGATACCAGCCTAGATTGGCCTGCCGAGCTACCGTAGGCATTCGGTTTTCCGCCCGTGAATTCCTGAGGGTGTGGCGAGAGCGTGTCACGTGGCCCCAAGCCCCCTCCGGATTGGCTTAGTTTCTCTCCGGATTGATGGATGGAACCCCGAGAAGGTGGGGCGCACGCGCAGTACTGGGAGTTCCTCGGCCGCCCACCCGGAGCCGAGCGGTGGAGTTGGCGATAAACAGGCGGTGGCGGGGGAGGAGGGGTCGGGGGCGTAAGCTTTTGAGGGACTTCTGGTGCCTGGTTTTTCCTTTAGCTTTGCTTGAGCCGAGACGCGGGCCCCCAGCGGCCGGCTGGAGTGTTGATGTGTTGCGAGAGAAGGTAGCTTTTGCCGAGAGCAGTTCAAGTTGCTAGGAGGGCGCGACACCGGAGCTCTCCCCCATGCCGGGCAAGTGGTGCGGCCCTGAGCTTTTCCTGGAGCCTGAACAACGCCTGTGAGAAGCCCGCGGAACGCGGGTACTGTGAAAGGACGTGGGGAAGATTCGATTCCGAGAAAAGGAAGCGCCGGATTGAAAGGGAGCGAGGCCGCGAGGGGGAGGGGGCTGCCAAGATGGCGACCGCCTCCTCTGGGCCAGCGGCGGCCGGGTTTTCATCCCTTGATACCCCTGTCCCTACCGGTACTGCAGGTGAGTCCGGCGAGCCGCGGCCGGCCGGCGGGGGAGGACCGTGAGGTGGGAGCGAGAGCGAGCGCGTCCTTGGGGGAGGGCCTGAAGCTGGGTATGTCCGAGAGGTGCCCCTGAGGAGGACAGGATCGGACTTTGAAGTAGTAGACAGTTCTGCTCTTAGGGCAGTCGGGGAAAGGATGGGTGTCGCTGAGACAAGGGAAGCCGACGGAGACACTCACACTGTGTCTTAGAAGCGACTGCGTTGAGAACGTTGACGAAGGATGGAGATTGAAGGTTGAGGGTTGAAGAGGAAAACGACCAAAACAGGAATGGAGAAACTAAAGACAGCGAAGGCTGAGTCTTGTCTAGCATGCATCAGGCTCCGGGTTCAACCCACAGGGTCTTAATAAAACAAAATAACGTAAATGGATTATTGGTTGAGGGGGGATTTCTTGCTGTGAGGTAGAGGCCAAGTTGATTGTGAAATAATTGATTTCAGTGTTGAGGAGATTATGGGACTTAAGAGTATTGAAGAGTCATGGGGTGCTTTTGACTGCTGAGGAGTTAAGGAATGGTGAATTTTACTGGGAGTAAGAGTTACTGGCGTGGCCTTTCCTCTCAGACTCCCCCCTAATGCGTCATTCCTCCTCCCCTCAGCTCTCGGCAGGAGCAGCAAAGACACATACATACTTTCTCAAATTAACTCTTTGGTGATTTCTGTCTTTAGACTGTACAACTTTGGAAAGGAATGGGGAGTTTTGTTGTTTTGTATTTTGAGACAGGCACTTCCTATGTCTTTCTGACTGGCCTGAGATCCCTAGTTCTGGTATCCCAGGAGCACACTGCAGTCAGCACAGAAGAAAAATTTGAAAGGATGAGAGGGGAAGTTAGGGTCAAAAGACATAAAGGAGAATCAATGAAATGGGAGCTTGACTTGTAGAAGAGCCCGGGTTAGACTTCGTAAACAAAGATGGGGAAGAGGTGTGTGCGACTCTGAAGTACTATGGGGAAATATTGCACAATAGGATATAGACGGGAGGAATGCTTCGGGTGTTGTAGGAAGAAATTGCAAGGATCTGGGCAGTGTAGAGAGGTCAGGGTAGGCAGAGATAATGGAGATTGGGGGCTGAAAAGGCCCACAAAGAAAAGCCACAGACTGTCTGTAGGAGGGAAACTGTGTATAGGATTGAGTCAGAGGCTGTCCTGGACGTTCTGTTGGGAATGTCAGGTGTTCCTCAGTAACTGTTGCCTGAGAATACTGGATATTACATGCTTTTCTTGAGGGCCCCCCCCACCCCCAGGCCTGTGATTTTGTTCCTATTTTGAGTTTGCTTGAGTTTCCCCTTAAACATTCCAGCTTAGAGGAAACATAATCATAGATACCTTCTTCATAAGCTGCAATTTTATTTATGTGCCTCTATTTTTAGTTTCTTGGAGAGGTGACTTTCCTTTCCTCTAAACACACTAGAGAGCCATAACAACTCTTGTTGCTTTCTGAACCTGAAAAAGGATAATGTTTACAGAAGTGACAGTTTAAAAAAAAAAATTACTTACTTGATTTTTTTTTTTTTTTTTAACCCCTGAGACAGGATTTCTCTGTGTAGCCTTTGTTGTCCTGGACTAGACCAGGCTGGCTTCGAACTCACAGAGATCTGCCTGCCTCTGCCTTCTGAGTGCTGGGATCACAGGCCTATTTGGTTGTTTTTTTAATTGAATGTGTATGTGAGAGACTGTGTCAGGCAGGTCCCCTCCCTCTGCCTTTATGAGAGCTCTGGTAGTTGAACTCCGGTCCTCAGGACTGAACAGCAACTACCATTGCCAGCAGAACCATCCCTCCCACTCAGGTGACTTTTTTTTTAATGCAGTGGCTTCTTACTTGAAATCTTCTAGTATCGTCTAGCTAGGCAATCTTCCCTCTTACCCCCTTCGAGGTCTCTCTGTGTAGCCCAGGCTGTCCTGGAACTTGCTCTGAAGACCCAGGTGGCCTCCAATTTAGAGATACGCCTTCCTCTGTCTCCTGAGTTCTTGGATTAAAGGTGTGTGCCACCAGGCCTGGCTTCTAGTCATTTTGTGAGTTATATCTAAGCCAGCCTCCACCTATTAAGACAGCATATCTGCTAGGGGACAAGCTGATTTTTTTTTCCCTTCCCCTTTTAAAAGATTTTTTTTTTTTTAAGAGCTCCAGCATGGTGACAATTGCCTTTAATCCCAGCAAAAAGGAGGCAGAGGTAGGGGTGTTTCCGTAGGTTTGAGGCCACCCTGATCTATGTTGCAAGTGCCAGGATAGCCAGCACTATATAAAGAGATCCTGTCTCAAAAAACAACAAAAGAAATATTTTTAAGTTTTTAGCTCTGTGTATGTCCGTGTGTTACTTTGTGTGTGAGTGCCCTTAGAGGCCAGGATAGAGGCTTTGCATTCATTCTCTGAAACTGGAGTGCCATACAGTTGTGAGGCACCTGACAAGGATCCTGGTGACTGAACTTGGATCCACTGGAAAAGCAGAGCAAACACTCTTTGTTTTTGTTTTTATTTTTATTTTGATACAGGGTTTCACTGTGTAGCCTGGAACTCACTATGTAAACCAGGCTGGCCTCAAACTCACAGAGATCCATCTGCCTCTGCCTGCCAGTGCCTCAAATTCTCCAAATAACAGATGACATGGAACTCTTTAGCTTTCTGTTTACCTTGTAAGTGCTGAAATTATAGGCCTGTCCCACTGTGCCTAGCTTAGATTACTTTCAACATTTTTTTTTCCTTACTCTTTTTGTTTTGTTTTTGAGTCAGGGTCACTCAGTGTAGTTCTGGCTGTCCTGGAACTCACTGCATAGAGCAGTTTGGCCTCAAATTTATGAGATCCTCCTGCTTCTGTCTCTCAAGGGCTGGAATTACAGTCTCACCACACTGGGCAAAGCTCTTAAGTGTTTTTCCATTGGAGTAGTTGCCATGTTTGAATCTGGAGGAGGCAATGATAAATGAATTGTCATCTTAGGGGCCTGTGCTTGTTAAGGTGCTGTTCTTATGCTTCCATTGTTAATAAAAGGTGACGTGCTTTGTTACCTGGGCTCCACTGTTGGCTGTATAAAGAAAATGTATTTCTTCTCTTTGTTTTTTCCCCATCTTCATTATTTGGATAATGGCACCACTTAAAAAATCAGCCCTTATAAGGTACTGTTGGCAGTGACTGTTTAGGGTACAGAGACCCTGGCTTCCATCTACCATCCAGTAACTTGGACTTCAGGTCACTAAGTTTATTTGTGACTAGAAATGAGAGCCAGGAGTTTTTGTTTTGGAGTGTGTGTTGGTATTTTGAAGCAGGGTCTAACTGCTGTTTTGCTTGGCCAAGAATGTGTGTAGACCATGGTATTCAGGAACTCAGGTCCACCCACTGCCTCTCCAGTGCTAGGGCTAAAGGTGTCCGTCATCACACCCAGCTATTTTGTGTCTTGATTTGGAATTACAGAAGAGGTTAGAAAGGGAATTAAATGCCAAGATGCATACTGCTCCTCTGAAATAAAAAGTACGATTAAAATCACAATTGACTTCCCAAAGGAAAAGCACTTTGAAACCTTAGATGGTCTTGTGCTCTAGTTGGTTCTGCTTCTCACAGGAACAGTTTTGAAGTCACTCCTCATCAATTGGGTTTTACTAGAACAACAAATGGTTTGGGAACCTTACAGCCCCTGTATCTACCCTCTACCTAGGTGGTTACTGTCTTTGTTTTTCTTGTTTTTTTTTTTTTTTTTCTTGTCTCTGGCCGACCTGCAACTCACTGTGTAGACCAGGTTGGCCTCAAACTCATCAGTCTGCCTGTTTCTGCCTTCCCAATGCTGAGATTAAAGATCATGTGTCACCACTCCTTGTTAACCTCGCTGTATTTTGAGACAAGGTTTGCTGTGTAGCTGTGGTACAGTATAGCCGAATCTGGTCTCATGCTTTTTTATTTGCTTTGTTTTGTTTTTGTTTGTTTTAATCATCATGAGCTAATGTTATTTATCAGGCCTACTTCCTTCTCCTGTTTTTTTATTTTTATTTTTTGTTTTGTTTTTTTGGTTTTTTAAGACAGGGTTTCTCTGTGTATCCCTGGCTGTCCTGGAGCTCAACTCTGTAGACCGGGCTGACCTGGAACTCACTCTGTAGACCAGGCTGGCCTTGAACTCAGAGATTCCCCTGCCTCTGCCTCCAAGTTCTGGGATCAAAGGCATGCTGTCACCGCTACCTAACCCTTCTGTTTTTAAAATTAAGTTTTTTAAAGTTTTAATCTTGAGAGTGTATGAATGTGTGTATATATGTGTGTGTGTGCTTGTGAGTGGAGGCTAGAGGATAACTGACAGGTGCTGCTTTGCTTCTTTCCTCATGTGGCTCCTCAGACTTCCTGTGTTATTTGGTGGCAAAAGCTTTTATCCACTGAGCCATCCTGCTAGTCTAATCCCCCTATGGATTTTTGAATCACAACAAACATCAGGTGTTTCTGGGCTGGCCCTGGACTCCTGAGACTTCAAGTATCCTTTCGCCTTAGGCTACTATGGTAGATGGTATATAGGTACATGCAACCATAGTTGGCTTTTCATAGCGTCTTTGTTTTTTCTGTGTAATATTGGCTGTCCTGGACTCGATTTATAAACCAGGCCAGCCTGGAACACACAGCGATCCTCCCGCCTCTACCTCCCTGAGGGCTGGGATCAAAGGCGTGAGCACTCCCAGCTATGTCATTGTTTTTGATTAAATATTTGTTTTTTGCCATGGCTGTTTAAACTCAGTGTCATGTATAATTACCGTTTATTTTATAGGTGTTTAGTATCTGAGATTAGTTGGTATGTATACTTAAAAGTTAGCTTTGAGTGTCGAAGTACTATGCTTGACAATTGTTGCTGTCTGTAGGCGCCCAGCTTGGTGCCCAACTGACTCTTCTGATTAATACCTGTGCTGAAATATGTGCTACCTAAAAACTATTAAATATTTTATTAGCTTGTTTTTCTTTGATAATGGAGACTATGGCCTGTGGTATGAAGAGATAACAAGA